GGTATGTTCCGTGTGTGGGTTGTGTGTGCCCTCCTCTAGTAGTTGAGCCTTGGTTGATAATTGCACATCAGTGGGAGGGACTCACCATTGGGCTCACTGGTTGTGAGGACTGGCCTTGACTACAGTGGAAGAGTTGTTGTGCAGGGGCTGACGCTACAGAGCTGGATCTGCCTCAGCAGGACTCTGGTCTGCCCAGTCTGCCCTTGGGTGTGTCACACTTGGAGGCAGCTGGGTGATGCTCCAGCTCTTTTTTTTTTTTTTTCTTGGCTGAGCCATCCTGCTACCTATTGGCAGCTTAGCGGCTGCTCAGCTCGGGCTGGCCTTGAACCGCTGTTGCTCAGAGCTCAAACTCTTGAGCGAGCTCTTAACCAACTGAGCCATTCAGCCGGCCCGCTCCAGCTCATTTTGAAGCTGGCCTCTGGGGGCACCAGCTTCAGGACTGTCTTGGAGGGGGTCTGCTGTAGGTCAAGTTCAGCCACAGCCCGGGTGTGGCCCCACCTGGGACCACCCAGCGGGAGCCAGAAAGAAATCCATCCATAGATGGCTGCTGCCTGTTCTATGCTTAGAAGCGCCTTGAGAGGCCAAGCTGCGAATCAAGGCCAGCTGCCCCTAACGCCGGCTTACGGCTGTTCAGCCGGAGGTACAGGACATGCTCAAGCCAGATGCGGCTTGTCTGAGTTCCATGAACCTTTGAGGGACTCTAGAGGAGTCTGCAGCTTGACCCAAGGCAGGTGGTCTACATAAAAAAGCCACTGAAAGCAGCCTAGGTGTCCTCGAAATTTGGGCGGGGCCGGGTCTTGAATCGCCAGGGGTGGTGAACAAATGGCAGAGACTCGGATATGGCGATCTCCTATGTTTGTACACCGGAAGGGGGGAGGGCTCGACAAATAAATAATGGTTTCCACCAGCTCCCCTGTGTAGGAGAAAGCCGCCTCTCTAGCCCCGGTCCCAAGCCAGAAAACTGAATTCCCCACCATTTGTCCCTTAGGCATTCCTCGTTTTATTGTGCTTCACTTTATTGTACTTCACAGATGTTGCATTTTTTACAAATTGAAGGCAAGCCCTCCACCAGCAAGATTATGATTCTCTTTATTGCAAGACTTGCTTGATTGCAGTGGTCTGAAATGAAACCTGCAGCATCTCTGAGGCATGTCTGTATAGGGAAAAGAATAGAAACAGGAACATCAGTTGGGAGGTTATTGTAATAGTTTAGGTAAAGCATGATGGAGACTTCGATCAGAATGGAATTACAGTGGAGGTGGGGAGAAGTGGTTTAAATGCAAGTAATCAACAAAAAATGTATATTAGTTATAGAACTAATTTAATTCAGTAATTCAACTCAGAAATATAGAAAGAAGCCAGCTAAACTAACTTTTAAACAGTCATCTGGAATAAGGGAATTAAATGGGCAGGGAAGAAATTAGTGAATTACAAATGAGAAAGATAGTATACTGAAAAATAAAAATTAAAGCTAGTGCTTTGAAAAATCCAACAAAATAGAAATTGCTGTTAATTTGAATGAGGAAAGGGACAATAAAGATATACCACATCCAGAATGAAAATAGGATATAAACTCAAACATAAAGATTTAAAATTATAATAAAAATCTATAATGATGCTAGTATATACAAAAATCTTTAAAATTAAGAAGTTTTAGAAATATCTATTTAAGTAAAAAAAAGATGGAATAAAATAAAATCGCATTAGAGTAGAATAAGCATGGCAGAAATTGAAAACCGTTTTAAGAACTACCGTATCTCCCCATGTATAAGACGCATCTTAATTTTTGGGCCCAAAATTTGAAAAACAATGTATTACATAGTTATTGAACTCAAGTTTTATTCATCATAAAATTCATACAACTCCTCATCACTGTCAAATGCATGTAAAAAAAATCTACAACCACTGTATAAGACGCACCCAGATTTTAGACCCCAAATTTTTTGAAAAAGGGTGCGTCTTATACATGGGGAAATATGGTATTTATAAAAGGAACTCTGTTAAAAAGTTTTACAGGTGAATTACATCAAGCTTAAGGCATAGATAGTTTCCATGCTATTTACACTGCTCTAAAACAGAAAATGTTCAAAAGTTTGCCAACTAATTTGATAACACTGGCATAACTCCAGTACTAAACTTAGCAAAGATAGTACAAAATCCTAAAGAAATAACAAGTAAATTGAAATTGGATGTATATTTTAATAGATAGCCCCTCACCAAACAGTTTATCAAGAAGCAGTATAGTGATTTAAGAGGTCAGACTCTAGTGTCAGATAGCCTAGGATCAGATTTGCATCCTGGGGTGGATTTAATAGGTGTATGTATGGCTTTGTTCAACCTATTTAATCTCTTTGTGTCACAGTTTCCTTATCCATAAAATGTGGCTTTTGATAGTGTCAACCTTATCTAGTTGTAAACATTAAAACAGTTACTATCTATAATGCACTTACTAAAGTTTCTAGCATGTAGTAAGCACTCAAAAATATTATCTATTAATTTTAGTTTTTACTTTTAAATATATTACTCATATTAATAAGTTAAAGGAGAAAGGCCATAGATAGTTGTTAAACAAAAGATAATTTGATAAAACTTAATATTCATTTATGATTTTTACAAATCTGTTAGTACACAATAAGAAGAAAGATTACTCTTCCATATACATACTATGGAATATAGAAGAGGTTCTACTTGATATAATAAGAACAGAAATATGAAATAAGACTTACTATTATTTACAGATGACACAGTTGTCTTCCTGAAAAGCCCAATGCAAGTAAAAACCCAACAGGATTTTTTAAAAATTGACAATTATTCTAACTTCCTTCTGGAAAAATAAATGTGTGAAAATTGTCAAGAGCATTTTCAAAAGAGAAGTATGAGTATGGCTTTTCCCTAATAGCTATTCAACAGTGTTACTGGCGCATAAACATATCAACAGAAGAAAAAGGAAAGGCCAGAAGGCGATCAGCACATGATAAGGTGTTTCAAGTCAATATGGGGTGTCTTGGTTTATTTAAAAAATGGCATGGACCAAGTAAACATAACCTAGTCAGTAATAAAATGTATCACCCTTTTGTGGGTGTAACTATGGTATGGATTCTGAAATTCATCATATCATCAGGGGATATTTGCAGAACCAACACGGAACCACACATTGGGAGAGGTGATACCAGAAGCCCAAGCGTATTGAGAAGGGTGCATTCATTCTCTAAAAACAATTCTTGATATATGTATTTCTCCCTGTAGTTGTTGTCTTACATACTTTGAGGTCATATTGTTGGGTGTACATGTGTTCATGATGAATTGAACAAAGTGTTTAAGAACCCTCAGACACCTCTCAGAAAACAAAATAAATAGCAGCAAGGACTCCATTGAAGTGTATGTAGAATACATTTTTGATGTTGATAAGGTTCACAAATGACAACATCAACATTTTTTTAATGGAATGTTCTGTAGAGACACAGCTTTATCATGTGTCCGAGACACTCACAAAGCAGTCATTTTCTGTCACCTTGAGGTTTAGCAGAATCTCTAAATTCAACAGTTGGCTGATGGACTCACAGGACCCAGATTTGCTCCCAGATACGCCAATGAGACATGCATATTTACAGAAAATGGTATCAAATATTTCAAAAATTCACGTTAGGTAACTACAATAATTTAATTTGGTATTTAACTTTAGTTTCTTTCAAACTAAGAAGATAGTTTTCAGTGTCAAGCAGGATACAAATATGTGTGTCTTCCATGTTCCTTTTCCTACAACTTGCTTTTCATACAAATTAAAAGGAGATGCACGGGGTTCTAATTCCAATAGGGATGTGTCAGGAGAAACTGGGGGTACAGGACACTGAGGACCCACCCCCAGCACGTTGCCTTTGCCTCATTTGAGTCAGCCTGGTCAACAAAGTGTTCACAGGACCCTGAGGCTCTCAGGGGAAAACAGTATGAATAGCAGCAGGGACTCCTTTCAAGTGTAGTGAATTAATATTTTTTTATCTTGATGAAATTCACCAATGATAAGATTTCTTCAAAGGAAGAGTCCGTTGAGGCACAGCATTAACATGTGTCCCCCCATTATCCAGGAGGCAGCAATTTCATGTCTCCCTGAGGTTTAGCAAAATTGCCAACATCAACAGGTTGGCTGATGGGGCCCCAGGTTTGCTGCCAGATAAGCCGGTGAGGCATGCTGTCATATTATTGAGCACAGAATAAAATATAAAAAAGATGCACACTAACTAGGTCATTGCAATAGCTTTATTATCATGCAGCTTTAATTTATTTTAAACAAGGAAGAATGATTTCAACATGAAGCAGCATGCATATGTGTGTGTCTTCCATGCTTTCCTACAAGGTGCTTTTACTATGAATGAAAAGGAGTGGAGTTCAGCTTCATGGTGATCTAGGAGAAACAAAAGCCAGAATTCAGTTACTTGTTAATTGTGACGCTATTGGCATCTATTGTCTCCTTTACTCTTTATACTTATACTAGCAGGTAGACACTATTGCTGCCCTCGATTTACAGATAGGAGAGCTGAGGCGCAGAGAGAGAGTCCAGCCACGGCCATATCAGCAGTAGAAGGCAAACGCAATTCTTGACCCCAAGTGTATGCTCTGAATTCAGATGTACACAACATTGTAGTGTATAGTCCAAGTGGATAGTTTCATTACCTTTCAAACTCAAATGCTAGAATAGTCACAATTATAACTGCAGGGACCGGTGTTTTAAATAAACAGCATCTATATTTCCTAGCAGATGATTTCAGTGTTATAGGAAGATACTGGAAAATGGAGAGAAATGAACCCCAAATCTAGGGGTTTCAGCTATTTGACTCTCTGTCCTTCTCCAAACACTGGGTTGAGCACCTTCTCCTGTGGATGTTGTACCCATATGGGCATGGGGGTGGTTAGAGTGTGGACTGCACCCCTGCAATGCCCAGTCATCCATCCTCCCATCCAACAGTACAAGGGCAGTCACCTTCTTGCTGGAGTCATTTAGCTGCTCATTCCTGAACATCCCTGCGGCGACGGCCATAGGATCCAGGGCCCACGTTGGTGGGCTCGAAGTCTTCCTTCGCCACGCCCCCATGTTTATTCAGCACATTTGCCAGCCGATGGGTCGTATAGGTGGCAGTGTTGCAGGCCCTTTTCTGGGCCGAGATGCTAATTTGTAGGGTGGAGAAAAAAGAGGAGACCTGTCAATGAGAGGTTGAAGGGCCAGTAGGTGCAAGAGCCTTTCTCATGGGACCATCATGGTAAAATTATTTGTACTTTTCTGAGAGGCACCAATTAACCTTAAGTCTTTCACTTAAACACAATTATCGCAGCAGAAAATCACATGGCCGTTAGAAAAAAATGCTACAATCACTCCCCTACACATTCTTAGGAATATCCACAAACCAAAAAGTGATGCTGGGTAACTGGCCATAAACACAGCGCTGTAACAGCCCATTTTTTTCTTTATAAATACATTAAAAATCCACCAAAGCTTATGAGAATAGAGATAATTATGGAGTCATGTCCAGTCCATTCTCAAGGACTATCTAGCAGCCATATCCCATTCATGGGCAGCAGGTACTCCTTATTAGGAAAACAAAAATTCTCCTGTCTTACTAAGAGTTTAAAGCATTGGGTACCAGTGGTACTCACCTGCTCCTTAGCACACCTGTTCTTGCTATTTGAGGTTGGTCACAGGGACCACCCATCACACCCTGTGTCCTGCTATCCTGGAGCTAAGGCTGCTTCTAAGATGCACAGATCCCTGAATCCATAAAGCCTGGGACGTGGACCAGAGCAATAACCACCACAGCTCAGTGCTTTTAGAAATACACCTTTATTCTCCAATGACAAGCACATTCAGAAACAAGATATGAAGCTCTGTCCTGAAATCCTCAGGCACTCAGAGGGCCACCCTCTCCCTCTCTCATCTCTTCCTGGGTGATTCTCTTTGAGCTGTAGGTCCTGCTCTCTCTCCTTCCATCTGAGGTTCCACATATCTACTGCCACAGAGAAAGCCACTGATACCAGCCCCAAAAACAACAAGAGAGGACTATATACAGCAAGCTATAGGAAGAAAGCAAGAAAGGAAATTAGGAAGTAGAGGGAGGTGTTTAGTAGGCATCCTTGGGCATGCCAACATGAGGGTCGTTGTCTCTCTCCAAGCCACTGGCCTTGACCCTTCTCTTGCCAGGCGCTCCGGCCCCAATTGCAGTCTGAGGGAATGTGTGAAACTTGTTGAGGTCCTGTGTATATGAGCTCAGCATACAGGTACTCAGATTACTGCACCACTTAGCTCTGGAGTTGTCCAGGCTGCAGGGAAAAAACATGCCAGGTGATATCATGAACTGGCTTTGCCCCTGCGGTTGTCTCACAGAAGGTTAGACTATTGAGGAGTCACTTAGAGTTGGGGCGGAGGGGCAGGCAGGAGGGTGGCTTAGGCATCCTCCATTAGTTGAGCCCAGAGACATGCTCAGTCAGGGCAGTGTGGGGAAGGGCTGCGGTGGGGAAGGGTGACCTTTCCCAGCCTTCGTCATGCTGCTCAGTCCTTGATGCCCAGAAGAGAGGTTGTCAGGGCAGATGCAGGTATGACCCGTGCCTCTGCCTAGGCAGTGCCAGGGCCACAGCAGGGGCTGGTGTGTGCTCCAAGCTTGGGGTGCACAGGAGGTGGGACTACAGAAGGGCGCTCTCCCCAGCCTTTTGGCAACATGCACATCTCCACAGGTCCTACACATCTAAAGGCCCAGACCTACCTCAGGCACTGTTCTACCTGAGCCCACCCTCTGCAAGGCCTTTGGCTTCACCTTGCAAATGTGCAGTGAAGGCTTCCTGAAGGTGTGAAAGAATGCCATGTGCAGGTTAACAAGGTGGAGTCAAGTTTCTAAAATCTCCTGCACTAAAAAGGATCCACCATCTGGCTTCACACTTACCAGTCCTAACTCCTCCAATGCTGGGAGGGCTTCTCAGCACTGCCAGACCAACTTCCTGAGTGAGTGCTTCCACACCTTCCCCAACAGCTTTCAGAAATGGGTGTTTTTACATGTGGTCTAACCATAGCCTCTCCACCTAACCTCTGTCTTCAGTGCATCCTGAGAACAGCTGGGCCCCAGGATAGGGTGAACAGTGACAGCCTGCTGGCCACCTATCCAGCTGTGTTCTCTCCCACCTCTCAGGATATGCCTGCCTGGACATGACTGGAGGGAGGGAATGCCCTGTGCTGGGCAGGTGCTCAGCCTTACCTGGAGCCCTGTGTCTCCTGCTCCTGCTCAATGGCCGTACTCTTCAAGTAGTCCTTAATCAGTTCAGCCAGTAGGAGGCCTGCTTTCTCCTTGTTGAGTGAAGCCTGGTGTTCAGGGCTCTCCAGGGCAGAGCTGGGAAGGGGAAGCAAAACCAACAGAGGCTCTGAGCTGCTGCCCACCCACTGCCCAGGACAAGCAGCCAGGTGTCCTAGTTTCTGCCACTTCCCCTGAGGATGTGGTCACCACAACCCCCAGTGGACAGAGCACGAGGCCAGTGTCTTTCCAAAAACAGTGCTTCATCGGGAGTCAGGCTCTGGTGTGACGTGGAAGCAGTGGTCTGCTGGATCAGATCATGCAGCTTGTGAAAGATTCAAGTTTCAGAAAATGTGTGAGCCTATGTTTAAATGCAGCCAATATTGAAGATTAAATGATAATATTACAGGTAGTGCTAAGCTAAGAAGTGTTTCAGTTTAATACATACAATTTGTACAAGAGTAAGAAAGATTAACAGATCACATGTCAGATTTAATAACTACAAATTTATTGGCAGAACACTAGCAGGTTAAGATGCAATTCATTTCTGAGATCATTGTTGAATTAGGTAAAGAGACTGGCTAAAGAGACAAGTTTGGTAAAAAGCAAAAGCATTCTGTGAACTCATGAACAATATGAAATTTGCAATAAAGAATATTATATCTCATTACTGTTGTCAATTAAATGCTACACATTCTTATATTAGAAAAAAAATGTACATTCCCCATTTATATTAGAAAAAAAATGTACATTCCCCCTCCCCCACCAGCCAATGTTAAACTTTCAGCACACCACCATTCAGAGCATAGATTGTTCAATCCCAGGAGCGCTGTGTGCTCCTGGCAGGGCTGTCTTACCTGAGTGCAGCTGCCTGAAAGATGCCAACCTGGTACAGGACCAAGAAGCCAAGAGCCAAGAAGGGGGAGAGCTTCCAGAAGCCCATGATGTCTCTGCAAGGGAAGAATCATGTCACCACCTACACCAGTTTAGAGCTCTAGGAGCCCACAGACCTGGACTCTGGTCTGCCTTCTGCAGGTAACTCCCTGGCTCCGTGGCTTCAGGCTCCTCGCTTCATTTCCCCTCACTGTTTGATTGTTTG